TGGTTGCAGTGAGCCAAAATCACGCCACTGCACTCCAGCCTGAGTGACAGAGTGAGACTCTGTCTCAAATAAATAAATTCATTCATTCATTCATTCATTCATTCTCCAGGTACCTAGGCCACAATCATATAAGGTTATTACTAATAGAGACCCTACAGCAGCATTATAAAGGAGAACTTACTGCAGTGAGCTGTTCAATATGGTAGGCACTAGCCACATGTGGCTACAGAACAACTGAAATATAGCCAATCCAATTGAGCTCAATTTTTAATTTTATTTTAACTTTAATAAATTTAAAGAATCACAACCCTAGAGATTAATTTAGTCCAACCCTCTCATTTTACTGAGGCCTAGAAAAGATGCTATCCAACATTTCAAGGTAGACCAAAACCAAAACTTAAGTCTCCTGACTCCTAATTAGCATGCTTTTCTAGTATCCCAGTACTTCCCAAGCTGTTCTACTGCAATATCCCTAAGAGTAAGTCTAGAGATATAATATGAACATAGTCCACTGCATGCACAAAATTTCCTTGAGAATTCATATTACAAGTTACACTGGAATTTTTTTATAATACTAATAATTACCACCATCACTTATTAGCAATTGCTTTTTTTTTGGTAGAGATAGGATCTTGCTATGTTCCCTAGGCTGGTTTTGAACTTCTGGCGTCAAGCAATCCCACCTCAGCCTCCCAAAGTGCTAGGATTATAGGAGTGAGCCACTGCACCCAGCCTAAGTGCTTATTTTATGTAATAATTATAATGTTAACAATATTAATAATGACTAACACATATGAAATTTATCATGTGCCAGGCACTTAAATGCTTTTATATATATTAACTTATTTAATCCTCACAATAACTTTGTGAGGTAGAAACTCTAATTATCCCACTGTAAATAAGGAAGCTGAACTGAAACAGCTTGCTCAAGGTTACATTGCCAGTAAGTGGCAGAGCTGGGACTAGAATCTAGGTGGTTGAGTTCCAGGGTCTGTAGTTAACAATCAATCACTACACCTTACAGCCTCTCTAGCACAGATTAAATGAACAAATGAATGCAGCTTCACCAAAGCAGAATGAGAACACCAACTTCAGATCTAGAAAAATTGAGATTTTTTTGCTTACCCCTCAAAAATAAGTTTAAAACGTACAGTGTTTACCTTGTTACTAAAATTGTCCACTCCCCAGCACTACTCACACTCACACCCGTGCCAACATGGAACATCTGAAGGCAGTCCAATTTCCTAAAGTGTCACCTGTATATCCACTTAATTTATGCCAGTTAACCTGTTAAGTAAAGTCTCCCACATCAGCAGCTCTTACCCTATAACATTAATTTAAAAAAAAAAGAAAGAAAGAAAAGCAAACATTTCTAAACACAGTATTTAATCAGAATTTCCAATCCCTTCATCCAAAAATTGTTTTAATGAATGTAAGCTAAGGACATCTGAAAAGTATTATCCACCCCCTCCTAGCTGATGAAACCTAAATAACAAAAGGTCAAGCAACAGAGCTGGCAGCCAAGCCTCTCAAAAAGGGAACACTACCTGAGACAAAAAAACATAGTGGCTAAATGTCTGTCTCAGTCAAACAGATCTACATTAGAAATCTTGTTCAGCCACTGACTGTTTTCATAAATGCGAAATATGGCTAACAAAAATATGTACCCCGTAGGCTGTTGTGAATGAGTAAAACACTGTGTGGAAGGTAAACACACTTCATATGTGTAAGTGCCAAATTTTTATTCCAGAGACTTGACAAAGTCATTCATTTTTGTTTCAGGCAGAAGAGCACAAGAACCACTCCCAGTGACAGCTTTCTAGCTTATCTAGTTTCTCCTTTAAACTTCAGAGCAGTTTCTGCACTGAGAGAATGGAGTGTTGTGCTGGTTAAGGGCGGTGGCTCTGGGATTTGTATTCCAGCTAGTCCACCAGACTCCTGTGCCTCATTTGAGGTTTTTTCATCTGTGAAGTGGAGATAATGATAAAAACATTATCCATCTCATAGGGTTATTATAGGTTTAGTAAATACATGAAAAGTGCACCCAAAACAGCATCTGGAAGATAGTAAATGTACAGTAATATTGGTCACTACTTCTCCCTGTAGGTGATATAGTCTAAATTTTTAGTCCATGGAGAACCATGTAATTATTTTGCAACACTATAGAATGTTAAAGCTGGAAGGGATCTTAGGAAGCACTACTTCTAGTCCAACTCTCTCAATGATTAATTGGTTAGCAAGCAGGACCAGAACTAAATGGCCTGACAAGGATTAAAATCCTGGTCTCCTAATTTACTTTTTTTTTTTTTTTTTGAGACAGAGTCTCACTCTGTTGCTCAGGCTGGAGTGCAGTGGCACAATCTCAGCTTACTGCAAACTCCCTGCCCCATTCCCTTAAATCTGTCCCTACAGAGTACAGTGGAAGTGATGCTATGTGCTTTGTAAGGCTAGATGACAAAAATGCCATGCATTTCCACGTTGTTCTCTTATGACACTCACTGTTGGAATCCAGGCTTCCATAAGGCTACTGTGAGGAAACCCATAGCAGCTCATGCAGAAAGATCACATAGAGAGGTTACTAGCTTAGCTGAGGCCCCAGACATCATAGAACAGGGACAAGCCTTCCCCAATGTACCTTGTTTGAATTCCTTACTCACAGAATTGTGAACATAATAAAATGATTTCTTCATGCCACTAAATCTTGAGGTGATTTATTACACAACAATGGTAACTAGAACAACCACACAAAGCTTAGTATCTAACAAGGAATAAAGATACAAAATATCTGCCAGGTGCGGTGGCTCAAGCCTGTAATCCCAGCACTTTGGGAGGCCGAGGCGGGTGGATCACGAGGCCAAGAGATCGAGACCATCCTGGTCAACACGGTGAAACCCCGTCTCTACTAAAAATACAAAAAATTAGCTGGGCATGGTGGTGCGTGCCTGTAATCCCAGCTACTCAGGAGGCTGAGGCAGGAGAATTGCCTGAACCCAGGAGGCGGAGGTTGTGGTGAGCCGAGATCGCGCCATTGCACTCCAGCCTGGGTAACAAGAGCGAAACTCCGTCTCAAAAAAAAAAAAAAAAAAAAAGATACAAAATATCTGACTTCAAGGTATTACCTACACCTAACACAGTAAGTGGAACAGTAAATTATTTGTTGAGTGTCTGACGTAGTTATGATGCCCCTTTTGCAGATGAGGAACTGAGGCTTTGAGAGTTAAGAAACCTGTCCAAGCCTACTTAGCTGGTGAGTGGCAGAATAAATTAAAACTCAGATCTAGGCCAGGCACAGTGGCTCATGCCTATAATCCCAACACTTTGGGAGGCCAAGGAGGGAGGATCACCGGAGGTCCAGAGTTCGAGACCAGCCTGGCCAACACAGTGAAACTCAATTTCAACTAAAAATACAAAAAAAAAGAAAAAAAAAATTTAGATGGGTGTAGTGCTGCACCCCTGTAGTCCCAGCTACTCGGGAGGCTGAGGCAGGAGAATCACTTGAACCCCAGAGATGGTTGCAGTGAGCCGAGATCGCACCACTGCACTCCAGCCTGGGCAGCAAAGCAAGACTCCATCTCAAGACAAAAACAAACAAATAAAGCCTAAGAAAAAGCTCAGATCTAAATCCATGTTCCTAACACTATACTCTTCTGTTACCCTCAGTACTTAACAATTTTACTTTAAATATACAGTAACCTGTTTTAAAATGGGATTGTCAGTATTTAAAACATTCTGGCCTAACAGGATTTGTCATGCAGTTTCATCACTGACATGGAAACCCACGTATCACCTTCTCCAAAAAGCTTTCCCTGATCTTCATAACTCAAGTGATGTGCCAGCTCCCCCAACCTCCCCAGCCTTCCTACTTCCTATTCCATCACAGTCTTGTTGTTTTTCCAGCACTTATTCCTAGCTGAAACTGTCTTGTTTATTAATTTGTTCATGAGTCTACTCTGTCTCTCTAACTTGAATATAATAAGCTCCACAAAAGTAGGAACCTTGTCTTTCCTGTTTACAGCTATATCCCTAATGCCTAGGACAGTGCCTGAAAATACAGAAAATACAGAAGGTGATCAAAATTATTTTTGGAATGAAGGAATGACTGCATTTAGGCAAAATGAATGCCCACCCAATCTTACTACCCACCAATAGATGTGAAATAATAAGAGAAAACAAAAACAGCAGGATTCCAGCAGAATCATTCCATACAGTAAGGTCAGTGAAAAAAAAAATGGAAGAGGGGTTGGGATCCATGCTACGATTCATCTACTTAGAAAAGTATAAACCCTGAGTTCACAGACTGTCAATCCAACTTTCAACTAAGTAAGGGCTGATAAGGAGAAAGGTGTTAAAACATAGAACGGAGATGTAGGTAATGAATGGAGTAGGGGTCACACCTAAACACTGATCGCTCACTCACAGAAAACTCAATGTCTTAAGACACACTCGCTGAACCACAGCAAGGACAATTGTTGGGAACTCTCGAAAGAGCACCTTCTACCTTTCACCTGGCCCTTCTTATGCACTAGATATGGCTACCTGGGATGCAGGTGCTGTCTCCCAAAGGCAAGGAAGTGGCAGTAACCTAGGTGTTCACGGAAGAGGTAAGGAGCAGAATCTTCAGACCCAGGACAGGGTTCTCTGCATACGCAAGTCCCCAACGGCTCTATTTCTCCCAGGTGAGACGCGACCGTTCCTCAGGACCTCCCAAGCGCTAGGCACTATGCTGGGCTCTTAAACATGCTTTTCTTAATTTACGGGCCATTCCTTCCCCCAACCCAAGAATTTAGCGAGGCCTCAAGTACAACTTCTCCATTCCCCAGACCTGCTACTCTTTCTTGGGGTAGCCAAGAAATCGTCAAACTCCAGGAGTGGTTGGGGAAGGTAAAAAGAAATCTGGCGTGGCCTGAGAGATAGAACGTGAGGGGAACGTGTTAGGGCAAGAGGTTATACTGGGCTGGGGCCCAGGATCAGTAAAGAGTAAGATAAGAACGCGGTCTGACCCTTTCCAAGCCCATTATGTCCATCAGAAGAGATGACGAGGAGCAGGAAACTGAAGCCCAGCAAACAGGTGGCCCCGAGACGAGGCCGCGTCTCCATGGCAGTAGATGCGCGGAGCCACGGGGCTGAGCGGACGCAGGGCCGCAGTCCCAGCAGAAGGTCCACACCGCTAGCCGAGAGCGGCTCAGCACAACCCCTCGCCTTCCCAGATTTTTTTTTTTTTTTTTTTTCAAACTCTGAAGGAAGTGATGTTAGACGGATGTGGGTGGTGCCTCCGGGGTCTGGTTCGGCACAAAGTGAGTTTAAAGGTGCAGATCACGTTGGTGCGAGAGCTGTTCTCGAGCGCAAGTTACTTTTCCTGGATTCTGGGTGTCCAAGTCCTGGGACGGAGCGGGAAAATGTGGGCCAAGAATGCGGGTGAGAAATTCAGGAGAACCGTTGCTGCTTGGGTCCGCCACCCAGTCCAGCCCCTCCCCCCAAGAACCGCTGCACTTCCTAGTCAAACGCAAATTATTGATTGGTGAGGTCAGTCTCTCCCAACAGTGGGCAGGTTGCCCAATGGCCTCGGATTCTCCTTCCCTCTCCACAAATAAAGACTAGACGACTGGATTTCATTGTTAGGGTCCTGCCCAGGTCTCCGAGGAGACCTTGCAACCCTCTTCGGCGGTGCGTGGGCTAGTGCCGTGCAGACATGCCCTTTCCCGCTGGAGAAGCTCTGTACCTTATTTTTCCTTGCAACCGCAAATCTCCTACTCAGGGATGATGCAACCAACTGATAAAAGCTCCGAGAAAACCAAACTTGGGGCCTCTTACTGCAAAACTGACTTGGGTGGACTTAGCACACCAGGACAGAAGTCAGTGCACGCTTTTAAAGTGTAAAGCTTCTGGTTATTTTTCTTGTAGCTTGAGGATTTCTTCCCAATTTTTCCCCTCCGCTGTATAAGAAGTGAAAATGTCCGGTCTTTCTTCCTGGTACTAGTTGAGTCCTAAAGTGCGTACTTAACGCATAGCCAAAAAACAACCTAACTAAAGTATACACCCAAAGAGAAACATACCGACCGCCTTTCTGTTAGGTTCCCTAAAATTGTAGGCAGGGACACAATGGAACGCTCGGGAGACTGCAAGCCCCAGGATGCCGCGCGGGCACCTGCACCTGGCGCCACTAGCAGTAGAAGGATTCGCAGAGCAGGCCGGGCTTTGCAGTTCAGATGTGCGCTCCCAGGATAGGCTGCCCCGGAGAGGGAGAGGCGGGACCGACTTTGTCACGTGGACCCGCTCCAGCCTCCGCTGCCGCCGCCTTCGTCTTTCTCTGTCTCCGCTGAGGCAGCCATCTTGCTCTTGCCGCGTGCTGGTGTTGGAGGACCCTCCCTGCTTCAGGTGAGACCCCCGGCGGTCCCGCCACTCCACGGCCATAGGCCGCTGCGCACGGTCTCCCCCCGCCCTCTCCTTCCGACACCCGCCAACCGCTCAGGCTGCCACTTCCGCCGTGGCGCGGCGAGCGGGGGCGGAGGCGGCTGGCTTGGCCTGTCGGTTACCGGCGGCGCAGCTGGGGGTCGGCACCTGAGGGAAGGTCCCCTGCACCACCGCCCCCTGTGGGAGCGAGCGGGCCCGCGCTGTGGCAGCCCAGATCCAGTCCCCGGAGGCGGTGGACGCCTCTCCTCTGTCCCATTACTCCTCGTTCACAGCAGCAGTGTTGTGCGGTTTGGGCTTTATACGGGCTCCCTGTTGTCATTTCATTTGATATTCCCAGTATACAGATAGGGAAGCTGAGGTTACCACTGCCCGCCCCTAAGTCCAGGGAACCGAACTCAGTTGCAGCGCTCTTCACCTTGTAATGCCAGTGTTTGTTTACAAGTCGGCGTCTTTATAACCCCCTCCCACTGCCTGCTGACTGACCGACAGACTCAATGTTGCACAGCTAGTGAATGGCGGTTTCAACTTCCGTTCCCACGTTACAGTTTACTTTAGTTGTCCACTTCGGGAGTGGTAACAATAGTTACCAGTAACTGTGTGTCTTCTGTGAACCCTTCTCTGTGCTTGATAATCTTTAACCCTCAGAACAACCTTGTGAAGTACGTGGTGTTATACCTTTCCAAATGCAGGAGAAATACAAGATCAGAGAAGTAAAATACATTTCCCAAGTGGTAGAACCTTGGTCTTTCTAATTCCAAAGCTTGCACTTCTCTTAGAGAAACCCTGCATAATAAAAAGTCAGGACTAAAAGTTGCAATTATTTTTTATCTCTGTGTAAACACGGTGTATGTGAAAGTGCCTACCACAATACTTCCAACTTAGGCACTTAATAAATATAGATAAACCTCACTGTTTACACTCTTTCTTGAGTCCTTGAGAACAGTGCTAAAAGATCCTGGGATCCCCAAGGAAGAACTCATTAATCATGTGGCTTTAGGAAGTTTCTTCTCCCTTTTGGACCTAAGAAAGGACATCTCCCTTCTGGGCCCTCATTTTCTAATCTGTTATATTGGGAGGGAGAGAATTGTTTTCTTTGTAATTTGCCACTGCTAGCTGGTGTTGAGATGGCGTCCCAGGAATGATGGGTGCAATAAAGTAAAGGTTGATTGAAAGAGAGAATTAAACCAGGTGATCTTAGAGGTCTACTCCAGATTCTGAGCTTGATATCTCATAGACTGAGTCCAGTCTCAATCCTACTTGAATTCTACACACCACAACTTGCTAAGTAAGAAACAAAAGACCACTCTTCTTCCTCCCCTACTTCCTTGAGCTCCCAGTCTCCCTAAAATCCTTTTTCTCTGAGATACTCCTTAGAAACAGGATTTCTCAATTCTGTAGTCCTGATCACCTGGGATGGTTCTTTCATCTATGCCTTGATTTAAAGAATTAATTTTGTTCTTGCTTTTGTTTCAAACAAGTCAAGACTTTTTCTTGGCATCCCAGCCTCTGTCTCTTCTCTTGGGAATTGTTACTTCAAAATGCAGAAGAATCCCAAAGAGTACCCTGTATCTACACCGAATGTTTTTCCTTAGTCCCCTTTTTTTTTTGCAATAAATTCCTTAGGCTCTTTGTTAGTTCACTACACTCTCATAGCCACATTCCTTTGAGAAAAATGAATGTTGGTCCTTTACTGTGGATATTTGAGTATAGGGATTGGGATTTAAGTCTATGGCAGAGCTAAGATTGGTACACACTTAAGACTTAGGCCGGGCGCGGTGGCTCAAGCCTGTAATCCCAGCACTTTGGGAGGCCGAGGCGGATGGATCACGAGGTCGAGGGATCGAGACCATCCCGGTCAACATGGTGAAACCCCGTCTCTACTAAAAATACAAAAAACTAGCTGGGCGTGGTGGCGCGTGCCTGTAATCCCAGCTACTCAGGAGGCTGAGACAGGAGAATTGCCCGAGCCCGGGAGGCAGAGGTTGCGGTGAGCCGAGATTGCGCCATTGCACTCCAGCCTGGGTAACAAGAGCGAAACTCCGTCTCAAAAAAAAAAAAAAAAAAAAAAAAAAAAGACTTCTTACTTCCTCCTATAGAAGAGTGTTTTTAGCTGCTTGTGCACTGTGATACAGTGCTGAGCAGCAGAATCATACCTTCTAAATATTATTTGGGAACTGGACATTAGCCTTAAAGAAGAGATATATACAGGTTAGTGCCTAAGTAGAATGTCAAAGTATAGAATGGTTAGTAATGATATAATCTGATGCTCCTTTTTTTAATATCTCAAATGAAGCAAACAGTATCTTTTCATGTGAATAATGACTATAAAGGGGTTTGAGAATTGGCCAAAGAAGGTTTGATAACAGCCTAGTCCCTTATTCCCTCCCTCACATCTCAGTAGTGATTTGTTGATCCACAGAATGAGTAAAACGAGACTTAATTTTTTGGGTTTTTTGTTATTGTTGTTTGTTTTCATTTGTTTGTTTGTTTTAGACAAATCCTCACTCTGTTGCCCAGACTGGAGTGCAGTGGCAGGATCTCGGCTCACTGCAATCTCTGCCTCCCAGGTTCAAGCAATTCTCCTGCCTCAGCTTTCCTAGTAGCTGGGACTACAGGCACGTGCTACCATGCCCAGCTACTATTTGTGGTTGTAGTAAAGACAGGGTTTCACCATGTTAGCCAGGATGGTCTCCACCTTGTGATCTGCCCACCTCGGCCTCCCAAAGTGCTGGGATTACAGGCATGGGCCACTGAGCCTGGTCGGTTTTTTTTCCCCCTCAAGACAAGAGTTTTGCTCTTGTTGCCCAGGCTGGAGTGCAGTGGCACAATCTCAGCTGACCACAACCTTCACCTCCTATGTTCAAGCGATTGTCCTGCTTCAGTCTCCTGAGTAGCTGGGATTACAGGGATGTGCCACCACACCCAGCTAATTTTCTATTTTTGGTAGAGATGGAGTTTCTCCATGTTGGTCAGGCTGGTCTTGAACTCCCGACCTCAGGTGATCTGCCCACCTCGGCCTCCCAAAGTACTGGGATTATAGGCATGAGCCACCATGCCAGGCCTTAATTTGGCTTTTATTTGTTTATGTAGTGTGGAATATTATGACCCATTATAAACTTAAGAATGTTTTTTCCTTGGTGCAAATATCACCGACCAGACCAGATTCATAACTATAATGTTAGAATCTTCAAAATCAAGATTAGCTTTAAAAAGCTTATTTTAGGAGTCTCCTCTCCCTCCCCCCTCATTTATTACTGTAGCAAAGACATGTTTTTATTAAATTGTATAATGAAGCATTTTACCCTGTATGCAAGAATATCTTGACAAGTATAACATACTGTATCAGTGCAGGGTATTGAATGAACTCTGGAAAAATGTCTGAAAACTTGGTTCTCTTTCCCCATTATTAACATCATCTGACCTTGAATAGAGGATGTGACTACTTGATATCTTGACAGCTAGACAGCTTTTTGTTGAATTTCTTCTTTGTTCAGGTTTTTTTTCTTTTTGTCATCTTTATGATTTATAAGAAATACAGAGTGTGATTTGGGAGGAAAAAATCTGCTTGAAGATTTTGCTAATAACATTTGGTAACAGCTCTTTGCTGAAAAAATCTTTGAGAGAAAAAACTGGCTTCCCTACAGAGATTTCATAATTGGTTAGGTTTAACTGAATGCCAAAGGACTGAATCATGTTTTAAGGAGGGATCTTTGAATAGATGGGTTTGAATCCCATTCTGTTTTCTGTTTGTATGTTTGATTCCCTCATGGTAATTTAACTTGGATTTTTTTTTTTTTTTTTTTTACTCTTGTTACCCAGGCTGGACTGCAATTGCATGATCTCGGCTCACTGCAACCTCCGCCTCCTGGGTTCAGGCAGTTCTCCTGCCTCAGCCTCCTGAGCAGCTGGGATTACAGGCACGCGCCACCATGCCCAGCTAATTTTTTGTATTTTTAGTAGAGACGGGGTTTCACCATGTTGACCAGGATGGTCTCGAT